CCACGCATTGACGCAGGAGTCACGGCGTTCCGGCTTCTCATCACCGCCGAAAACCAACCTGTGGGTGAGACTGCACCGATACTCTTGCGCTACTCCCATCACTCAGCCCCTTTCGAACGTTAGGTTTAGTTACTGACTTTGAACGTTCTTGTTGGGTGTTTACAGATGTGTTTCGTCATGTCCAGTCAACTGTTTATTAAGTGTTTTGTTTTGTGAGGAATCTTTGCCTTTTTTACTTTTCAATTAAACTTTTTGTGTGTTTCTTGGAAACCGAACGGCTTTGTCCTTATTAACAAAACTCTCTGAGGCTCAGCCCGGGAGAAAAACAAATCAGCAACAAGAACCCGCATCACACAAGGTGGACAGCCAACATAGAGCGTGGTGGTCTGTGACCACATCGAAAGGACGGCCGTAAAGGTACGGGCGAAACTTCGTAAGCGCCCAGATTATGGCCAAACACTCCTTCTCTGTCACGGAGTAATTCAATTCAGCCTTCTTAAGAGCGCGACTTGCATAAGCGACTACGTATTCGGTTTGGGTACCTTTCCGTTGTGCCAAAACTGCGCCAAGACCAACGCCGCTTGCATCAGTGTGAACTTCTGTGGCAGCAGTAGGGTCGTAGTGGCGAAGAATAGGTGGCGAGGTCAGCAGGCGGCGCAGCTGGTGAAATGCGTCGTCACATGCAGGTGACCATGCAGATATACCTTTGCTGTTGGAAAGCAGACTAGTCAGAGGTGCAATGATGGACGCGAAGTTGCGCACGAAGCGACGAAAGTAAGAGCAAAGACCAACGAAACATCTTAAGGCTTTCAGTGATGTGGGCATGGGGAAGTCAGCGACAGCTCGAAGCTTATCGGGGTCCGGAAGAACACCGTCTCTTGTGATGACATGTCCCAAGATGGTTAGTTTGCGGGCTGCGAAGTGGCACTTCTTGGTGTTAAGTTGTAGGCCTGCAGAAGCTAGACACGCCAGAACCTCGTGGAGACGACGAAGATGTGTCGGGAAATCAGCTGAAAAGACTACGATGTCATCTAGGTAACACAAGCAAGTTTTCCACTTGTGGGCCCGCAATATGGTATCTATCATGCGTTCAAACGTCGCAGGCGCGTTGCAGAGCCCAAATGGCATGACTTTGAACTCATACAGGCCATCTGGCGTTACAAAGGCTGTTTTAGGGCGATCACATTCAGCCATTGGCACCTGCCAATACCCAGAACGCAGATCCAAGGATGTGAAGTACTCGGCGCCTTGTAAACAGTCAAGAGCATCGTCTATTCGTGGTAGCGGGTAGACGTCTTTCTTTGTAATCTTGTTTAAGCGGCGATAGTCCACGCAAAATCGAACGGTGCCATCTTTTTTCTTTACCAGAACCACGGGTGACGACCAAGCGCTTTGAGAAGGCTGTATGACTCCACGTTTAAGCATGTCATCTACTTGCTCCGTAATGACGCGGCGCTCTTCGGCAGAAACGCGGTAAGGACGCTGTCGCAGAGGCGAATGTGAGCCGGTGTCAATAGTATGAGTGACAGTCGTGGTGCGGCCCAAAGCAGGTTTCTGAAAGTCGAAAGAAGAGCGAAACTTGTTAAGGAGAGCAACAAGTTGGCTGCGATGCGAGGGGGGAAGGTCTGCGTCAATAGCATCGTCGAAGGCTGGTGAGCTTGATGGCTCAGACGCCTGAGTGATTGCGGCAATCTGACATGGCGTTTCGTCGGGAAGAATAATATCATTGATATGGTCGACAGGTTGCACATATCCTAACGTTTCACCACGAAGCAAGCCAATGGGGTAGTTGCAGTGGTTGGTAACCAGCATTACGGTTAAACCAGACGCAATCGTAAGAACGGCAAATGGGAGCACGATGCCCTTGCGTTCAGTAAAAACAGGGGATGGCGTAAATACCACCGTGGCGTCAGGTTGCGCCACACATGAAAGGCTAATAGGGACTGAAGCTTCCGGAGGCAAGGTGATGTCGTCGTCAGCGATGAGTTTGCAGAGCAGTGGTGAATGGTCGGGCGATGGAAACTCACAATTTGGCACTAGGGACACTTCCGCACGGCAACAATCGATGATAGCTTCATGACCTGATAAGAAATCCCAACCCAGGATGAGGTCATGAGAGCAAGATGGTAGTACAAAAAATTGGACGATGTACAAAACGTCTTGGATGACGACGCGCGCCGTACACACAGACGAGGGCTGAATGCGTTGCGCGCTAGCCGTGGACAGCACGATGCCACAGAGAGATGTGGTCACTTTCTTCAGTTTGCGACAAAATTTTGCGTTCATCACAGAAACGGCGGCCCCAGTATCAATTAACGCTTGTGTGGCGACTCCCTCAACATTGACATCAACAACATTTCGCGGCGAAAATGGAGGCCTAGATAATTGCGCAGAAGTTGCAGTTCTTGCCTCTGGAACTGCACTGATTAGTTTCCCTCCTCAGGAGGTGGTCTACGACGCATAGGAGATGGTGATCGGCGACGAGGAGATGGGAAACGAGAAGTTGATGGGCGACGATCCGAGTCAGAGTGCCTCTGTTCGTATGCAGACGAGGTGGCCTGCTGCGACGCATAGGTAGGAGTTCCAAAGGAGGCGTACGCAGGTGTGGGACGGCGGCGGCAGTAGCGTGAAATGTGGCCAGCGATGCCACACGCGAAGCAGATAGGACGGTTGTCATGGGTGCGCCACTCATTAGATTGACGGAAAAAGCGAGGTGAGGGCCTGTAAACCGGTGGCGCTGCCGGAGGAGTTGGAGCCGATAAGGCGACTGGATGCGGTGGGGGCCGCGCGACCACAGCTGCGTAGCTGAGAGGTGAAGGCGGCGCAGTTGGTGCGTAGCCAGCAGTTGAGAGATCAGATGGCACCGAAGTGCACGGGTAAGAGGCCGGAACTGTAGGGAGTGCATTGCAAATTTCAGTGCGTATGGCCTGCTGCATATTCGAAGGGAGGCTTGTCGTGGGCGCGTCACTATGCGGCAGCAGGGAAAGCTGTCGGGCGACTTCCTCCCTGATGAAGTCTTTAATCTGGTTCGACAGAGTTCCTTGGTGAACGTTGCCATTGGCGAGTGTGACGGCCGAGATGGAATCTGGTGATGGAACACTCTGTCGGGCGATGGAACGCTGACGACGCAATTCATCGAAGCTCTGGCACAGGCTTACGAGGACCGCCACCGTGGTCGGGCTCTTCGCCAGCAACATCTGGAATGCGCCATCCTCGATGCCTTTGAGAATATGTCGAATTTTCTCTTCTTCAGGCATGGATGAGTTAACACGCCTGCAGAGGTCGAGCACATCCTCAATATAGCTAGTAAAGGTCTCACCAGGTTGCTGGGCTCGGTGGCGCAGACGCTGGTCAGCGCGGAGCTTGCGGACCTCTGGTCGGCCGAACGCTTCGGTCACGAGGGTCTTGAAGGTGGACCAGCTGGCGATGGCGGTTTCGCGGTTGGTGAACCATAGCTTGGCGACGTCAGCCAAGTAAAAGATGACTTAGGCAAGCTTGGAGTCGTTGTCCCATTTGTTGCTGGCACTCACGCGTTCGTACAAGGAGAGCCAGTCTTCGACGTCTTGCTCACCACTGCCGCTGAAGATTGGTGGGTCCCGCTGACGGGTAGCACCGGGGCAGGTCGACGGGGCAGCCGATGGTGCTGGCTGGGCTGGGACGGGCTGGTGGGCGACTGCGTCAGTCATGTTTCGCGGTAGTCTTTCAGGCAACTTGCGAGAGCGGAGCTCCAGGTCTTCTTGGGGATCTCAGCACCCTCCACCAAATGTGATGACGTTTATTCGAGCCGAGAAGTCGCAGCGAGGTCGCAACGGAAAGTGGGCGTACGGCAAGTCTGGCAGAGGCGGCACAAACTCTCGCGCAAGCAGAGCACGGGCTTTTTGTTGTCTTCCGAAGGCGCATACGCGTTGGTGCGTATGCTCCACTACACAGTAAATGACTGTGGTCGTTGAAGGATCAGTTTTAAACGTATTAGATTCAGTATTAAACGTTATGCATCGAATATAAATGTTTGAAAAAACGTGGTGTATTCATCACAAAAATAATTTATTTTGCGGTAAATTGGGTGCACATATAATAATAACGCCAAGAGTCAAAACCTGTTACATGTAAACATTTTTACTCTTTTATTGGCCAGTAAAGGGCATCACATAATGACACCTTTTACATTCTTCAGAAGCTCTTCTGATAGACTTAGGCCTATCGTTTATATGGGCTAATAGAGATCCCGTTACTCAGTAGCAGCTGTGATTGCTCGCTCGATGTATACATATTCAGTCTAGAGTACAAAGAGCAAGGGTTGCTCAAATCGAGTCATCTTCGTTAGGCTCTCGCTGAACGCGCAACTCTTTCTTGCCTATAGTTGGAAAACTATACAACGCCACTGGTGCATGGGCTTATTCATTACAGGATTTGGCGCTTCTATTCCCAAATGCTCGCATCTGGACAGCTGAATGTTATTTTTTTTCTTTTGATTTTAGACCGAATTCCGCGAAAGAGACAGGCAGGTGTAAAACCGTCTATGGTGGAACACCTATTATTAGCATTCATTCGGTGGCATCAGCACGATCGCTTTTCTGCCAGTCTTTCTTTCTAATTTTAATTTGTTCTAGAGTACTGCAGCTAACTGGAAAAAAGTTCTGTTTATCACCACATGCTGCGTTTCAGATATACGTGACTCTTTTGTCCATGAACACTTTATAGCTTAAAGTCCTTTATGAGTGTCATAGGTCATAAAGGTGATTGCAGAAGCATCTAAGATATGTCCGTTGCATCCACTGGCTACAAACGAATTCGGTTATCATATGCCACGTTTCGTAAGCCTTAAATTGTATTTCAAACCAAGCAGTGCTATAAGCTGAAGTGGCTATATTGAACATGAACTCGTGAACACTCGCGGGATTTCGAAACTCAAGAAAACGTTGAGTTAGAACACACGCGAGCACAGTGACCTGGCACAAAGCATTTGAGAGGTTCGCTATTCAAAGCTGTTCATTACTTACCAGGCAGGCACAAGTGCTACGTTGCGCCTGGCCGCGGTAGCAGCGTTCTCCTATTTGAGTTATGCGGTTACCGCAAGGTAGCCATGTGGCTGAATGAAAGTACCTCTCCAGCATAGAAATTAGCTGAGTGACATCCGGGGCTCGTGTAAGGCAATATCCGTGTACGTGATCGTAGGCAAACTACAGGTGCAGCGTGTTGACGTTGTGATAGCTACGCTTCTTAATGATGACTCTGATGGCTGAAGGGGTATGACGTACCGCTGCATTACCCATTTGCAGCTGTTCATGCTTGGCTACTGTTATGCTATTTAATTCCCAGGTTGGATTGGTTGATTGAACGATTGATTGATTGATTGATTGATTGATTGATATGTGGGGTTCATTTAACATCCCAAAACCACCATATTATTATGACAGACACCGAAGTGAACGACTCTGGAAACTTCGACCACTTGGGATACTTTAACGTGCAACCTAATCTGAGAACACGGGCCTACAGCATTTTCGCCTCCATCAAAAATACAGCCGCTGCAGCCAGGATTCGATCCCGTGACCTGTGGCTCAGCCGCTGAGCAACTTGCCCTCTAGGCCACCGCGGTGGTGCTTCGTCCTAGTTTAGATGTGATCGGTGCTTGTGCCGAAAAGACTTTCTCATCATTTCCTTGCAACTCAAACTGTGGGGACAAAAAGACAGGACAGCTCCAGCTTAGAGGAATTAAATACGTGAGTTGGAGTTTGCAATGGCTGCAAGTCACGTGAAAATATGACAACGGAAAAACATGATGTAGTCTGAAAGTAAAAGAAAAAAAAATGCGCCAACAACCAAGCAGCGTCTTTCTTGTGATATTGCGAAGTGTCGCTGTTTTATTTTTTTCTCGTCAAAGGTTTACTCGTTTTTTCTTATCGGAGACAAATTAGGTATTAGAGAAAGAATATATTTGACGTAAATATCACCCAGTTACTATAAATGGCACACATTTTTCATGGCCCCGCAAGATGTTTCGGCTTAGTGGATCTTATTAAAGATAGGCTGTTGCTTTCAAAATTGTACTTTGTACCACCGTTTCACGACCATTCGCTGAATGCGCCATTAAGTGACCGCGAGACGACGTTTAGCACTACTAAATGCTTGTGCCTGTTTTTTTTTTTTGGAAAATTAACACCTTCTCATGCAACCTCCACCGTATATGCTGCCCTAAACTTGTTTTTTATTTACCTGCCTGAAAAAGACATCATACTTTGAGAAGCGCTAGAGCGTCCACCTGCAACGTTGCGCTCTCTTGCAAGTTCTGGGTGAATATTGCATAGCGGGCATTCGAGCACTGCACATAAACGCATCGCTACATTCAATGCGGCTGAGGGCTGGCGTGCCACATGCATTACGAGAGGAGATAGACACATGTCGCTGAGGCAGTGAAACCGTGTTATAACGAAGGCTAAACACTTTGTGGTGGCACACGTCAGCTTCAGGTGAATAGTAGACGAATGAGTGCATGAAGCGATCCGGTGAAATAACAGTGAAAATTCGAGCGACAAGTAGAGTGGCTCTACTCGGTGCACGTGCCATTGCACAAACTATTCAAATTGGGCTAAACGCACTAAAATATAAGGTGAAAGCAAGAAGCTGAAAACAAGCTTTGCGTAGATAACCTTCTCAACGTTAAAGTGGTTTTCAGAGATTTTGACAAGTTTTCCCCGTTGGCAAACACGACCTGCTTCATAAAAAGGCTTGGTAAACACTGTTTAGTCAAGCACAAGACGCCGTTTGTTCGACTGTGTGCAGGGCACGGTGTAAGAAGTAGTGCAGGGAATGTTGTTCGGGATCCCAGTGTTTTGCGGTGAGTGTTACGTGACCAGACGGGACCTGAATGAACGATTCCGACATTAAGCCAGTAACGTCCGTAATGGCAAAGATAGAATACAGGTGTTACACCTGAGCAAGTATGGGTGCACCTTACTCTTCAGTGACACGCAACTTGAGATAGTATTAGGGGCGAGTACGTGCGCATGACATGCGAGGGTACTCAGATGGCGCGTGAAAGGTACGCGTGCGTAAGCAAGCCATCAATTTCACTTTCAAACAGGGAGCTCTGGTCATTGGGGTGCGAGGGTCCGCGCGGTGGGCCACAAATTACCGCAGATGGTGTCTTGATATTAATAAATATATAATATCAGTTACGTTAGGTTACGTAATCTGTGTTCGCGTTCTTTGAATGAGCGTCGGCAAAGCGGGACTGCGCTGTTTGGTATACGAGAGCCTTAGTCTGAACCGTGGAAGTTGCGCATATATTTTGTACACCACTAAAAAAGCAGCATAAAACTGTATATTCACTAACTCATTATGACTTCAACAAACCGGTGTCTTGCTTTTGTAATTTATTGCATGCACATATAAGGGCTGGGTAAGTCTAAAAACTCGTTTTTTTTTTTGGTTAGACACATCATTTTTAGGTACCAACAGCCGAAGAAGCAAACAGAAAAAGAGAGAATGTTGTCAGTAGTAGCTGGGGCACAAATGTGAAGAGATTATAGAATGGTCGGATGATAACTTGCCACTGGCGAGAACCGAAGCTGCAACATTGGAAAAAACGATGTTCTACTAAATGAGCTGCCATGGTACAAAAGGAGCGTTTTATAATCATCGTCGTGGTTATCAGTGGTGCTTATGAACACTGTCTTGTTCAAAGGCACATACATACCAGACAAACTCAACAGGAGGATAACAGCCACTTTAGAAAGATTGTCGGAACACTGGTCGTACGTGGTATTCGTAGGTTGCACGTTTGCTACCTGCCAGCGGCAAGTAATCGTTTGTCCACTTATTAACTTCGCATGTATGTCACAATAGCCATAAGTCCCATTCCCTAAACGTTTCTTGACTTTATTATATCTTAGTTCTCCCTAATTGTATTGTAAATGTGAATTATAAACAAAATCACACACTGAAAGCCTACGTTATTCACGGGAACTGTACTTCAAAAGCTCTGGTAATCTGCAAAAGTAGGAAAAGCGTGAAACACGCATATCTCGCGCAAAAGACTTGCTCTGCCGATTGACAAGTGTCTATTTTTACACGTTTACAACGAATAGCAGCTACGAAGCACTCGACATTATCGGTCACATCAGTTATTTGACAAATATGTATGTAGCCCTTGGGTTTTCCTAAACAATTAAAAGTACCTTATGCTAGTGGCTATCGCGCAACTGAAAGTTCTGGCTCAGATAACCTCTCGTCGCTTAAATAAAGATTTTTTGACGACAGTGTCACTGAACTTGAACTCGTAGATCGCTGCACTTTCCCAAGAAAAATTGCGCAAGTGGGTAAGAAGTTAGTATACTAAATGCTAGGCAGCCCAGAAACATTGGCTAAACTCTCTCATGCGTGAGCAGAAGGAACAGCACAAGCACCTCAATCATGAAATTTAATTTCCTTCATGTGACATGATATTGTGATTGGTAGTGTCGCAGTAATGTTTTATAACTTTTCTAGATTCTTTTATGACAGCTACTCGATATGCCCCAGTCAGTTCGAGACAACATGCAGTGATTATGATTTGCAGCTCTATAGAATGTTTTGTTGCTCCCCTCAGGGGCCTTGAAACCTCATCAGAATTCCATTTACTGTATGTTTGTAATGAATTGTACTTTCAATTAAGCCTGTCCTTGTACATCGTTGAGAAATAAAAATAATTTACGAGAAGGAACGTCACCGTTCCTGCTTTGCACACGTTGCCAAAGTGCCAAGTAGCCTTAACGCGGGTAAATGGGACACAGCCAGCACAGATCATAGGATGCATCAGGCTGAAGGAGTCGGTCGGGTCGCTTAACGGCAGCATGCAAAGCTGGCGTACCACCTCTTCCCGAATGAAGTCTTTGATTTGGGTTGATAGCGATGTATTGGACGATGGATCCCGGGATAGCGTGAGGCTCAAGAGTGGGTCAGCAGCTGCGACAGCGCTTTGCGCAAGCATCCTTTGTCGACGCAGCTCATCGGTTTGATTGATCAAAACTTTGGTAAAGATCGACGACGTCAGATACAGAAGCAAGAGTCAGTGCCAGGGCTATCTTAAATGCCGCGTCCTCGATGTTTTTCAGAATATGTTTTACTTTCTCGTTTTCGCTCTTGAAAGCATTTACACGTGAGCAAATGCTTGCCACATCATCGGTGTAATTAGTGAACGTCTCAACGAGCACTTGAGAGTGCTAGCGTAGGCGCTGTTCGGCAATCAGCTTCTGTGAAGTTGGTTGGCTGAAGACGTCTGCGATGGCTTTCTTGAAAAGAACCAAGTGGGCGTCTCACGCTCATCATTCTGAAACCAAAGCATGGCGACGTCAGAAAGGTTGAAGATGGCGACACGGAACCTCGCCGGATCATCCAGTTGTTGGTACCAATAACACATTTAGAGGTCGAAAGTCATTCGTTCACGTCAGTCTCCCTTATTCCGCTGAAGATAGGTGAGTCGCGGTACCGCTGAATGGCATCGCTGGAGTGGGAAGCCGTGGCGATTTCGGGCTAATAATGGGCACTGTCAGCCATGATATTTCCTAAAATTTACTAGAGGGGACTCAGGCGCTGCGATCGTTCAGCGACCATGGGTTTGATAGGTAGTACACACATTCGCCTAGTCTTCGTACTTGCGGACGGCAAATCGTACTTGCGGCTTCGTTTATTGTTGTGTTTCGGTTTTGTTTTTAGAGAAAGAGTCAACCTTTTTGAACTTCATGACCCGATTTCGAAAGGTAAGTCTAAAAAATTAAGATGGTGAAGCGCAACCGCTGAACATTAGCTAATATTTGTTTCGTGAGAAAACAACTTCAAGCCACGTGAACACACACGGAGCCAGAAGCAGGTCACAAGTACGAATTTTAGACAAATGTGTGTACTACCCATCATTCCCATGCTCGCTGAAGCGCTGTGTGTTGCACCTCCTATAGACGCTAGCGCCAGAGTTCCCTCTAGTGTATGTTAGGAAACCCTATGCTGTCCGCCATGTCAGCAGTTGAAGCAGCTGGCGACGTGCAGTTGCGCAGTTCCAGGCTGAGGGCAGGAATTGCATCCCCTCCACTAAGTCTCGTAGAACAAGATATTGTGAATGCAGTAAAAAATTTCAGTCACGTTAGCGCCGATGTGACATAAGCGCAGGTCT